TCGGTGACTCCTGAAAATTTAGACCTCCATTTTTACAGCATATACAAGTATCAGTGCATTAACCAGCTGAAGACTGTAAGATATACAGCTACTGGTGAAGAGCAAAAAAGCAAGATCAAGCTTTGCAAAGAAAATTAAAAAAAGGTACTCCTTGAATTATTCAGAAAAAATCAATTGTCAGAGTAATAAAAATAAACAGCAGGATTGCTATCTCTGAAAGGCCTTGGGACATACAGGGATAGATAAAAATCACTGAAGCACAGTCTAGGATCTTAGAAATGCCAAAAATGTGTTTGAAACCGGATCAGTTGCAAACATCCTGCCTTGCTACTGGTGAGGCAGCACACCCAAAGGCAAACAGAGAGAAGTCCTGTGGGGATGGCACTGAGCAAGAATTCGGTTCATTCGGGTCAGTTCCATGGTTCTACCACACATCTTCCATAACCTTGGGCAAGCAGCTTAATTGCTCCGTGCCTCAGTTTCCCACAGTAAAATAATGTCCGCAATAAGAGCAACAAGGATTCTGAAGTCATTTCATCCACGTTTCACCCATAATCGAGCCTACAATTTCTGATGGAGCTAGCATATGTCTCTTAAATGGCCACACAGTCTTGCCCCTCTCCTGCCCTTTATTTGAAAGCTCTCCCTTTACAGCATCTTCGCTGAACACCTTGTGCAGCAGACACCAAGACACAGGACAGATAATAATACATTTCACAGCAGCAATAAAACAACAGGAGCCATAATTTCTTTGAACTCTGGGTCAAACTTGTTGTTAGCCAAGTCTGTAAGAACTCGTATAGTAAATTACATACGTCTCTTTACCAGCAGGATCATAAAATAAAACTTTACAATCCTTCCGAAGGTCACGACTCTGCAACAAACAGTAAGACAAAACAATAAATTCACCCCCGAGACCTCCATTTTTGTGGCTTCGGCAGCTTTGGTTAGATCTGAGGAAATTAGGACTTTGACAATCTTTACACAAAATCTTTCTTATTTCTCCTTTGGACCCATCTCCCAATTCTCCCTAAGTGTAAGGCAGAGGCTAAAACAACAGTAGTAATGACTGTTATTGGTTTCAGCAGCAGCAAAACCACATTTATCTCTATACGCACATTTAATGGAAACAATGACCAAAGTGTTTCTTGGCAAATTAGTCCCCTTTTACCCCCCAAAGAAAAACACATCTATAAGCTACTTCCAAAACAATCAATATTAGTCCAGCAAGCAAAACTGTACGTTACATTTCCCATCAAAGTCTTGGCATTCCCTCAAACAAGTGATGCTTTATAAATGACAACTACTACCAAATAAACCGGAAAGACGACTGCTGAGCTGGGCACCTTGCTGCTTTTTGCCCAGGTCTGGGGGCCTGAGTGCAGGTAAATCAGCTAAAATCCCTGCGCTGGTCTGCTGACTTTTAAACATTTGGCCCAGCAACGTATCTTTTCATCTGTGCTCGTACAGAAGCTAGTACAACAGCCCCATATAGACACTGCCATGGTATCGCAACATAAATCGTAAGGGGGAGAACGGCAATCTCTACTACTAGCTTCAGAGCATGCATTTGCTCTCCTGTGGATTTAAAACCGAAAAGACTGAGACATGGTGTTAGTTCTGCAGGTATTATTATTTTTTAAATTAAAAATAAGAGTACTTGAGGATACGTTGATCCTGCACAGAAAAATCTTAAGCAAACGGATTATCTGATATTCTTGAAGTGAAAACAAAGGTTTTCCTCTAAACACTCTTCTGAGAGGCTGGCATTTGATTATGCAAAGTTTATAGTATTGCTCTTTTATTCCCAGCAGTGTTGCTCTCCCTAATGTTGCAAAGCCACAGACGCAGTAATCAATGACACCGATTCTTTCCTCTGAAGCTCCAAGCGAGGACAAACTTGAAGCAGCGCTAGCTGCCGAGGAACTGAAACGTCAAGAAATACTTACCGAAAGGATGCTAGCAGAGACCGTGCTGGTCACCTGGGCTTGAGAGCTGCCTGCTTACCGCATTGAAAACACCCCAATGTAAGCTACTGCACTGCTGTTCAGGCTAAGAGAGGATGCCTGTGTGCAAAGAGTAACAGCTTTTTATTAGAAGAAGTGTCAGAGGTTTTGTCTGGCTTCGGCCACTGCCAGAGCGCAGACTCTAAGCAAAGGTGTAGCAAGAAAAACTGCTTAAATCTAAGAAATTCTCGGTGCGTTTCCCTGCCTGTCCAAGAGGAATGACCTTCCCTGTCCTCCTGATTAACTTCCGTTTCATTCTGGGAGAGGAGATTTGAAGGAAATACATGACATTCCACATGGAAATCCCAGGGAAAACATGTCGCATTCCTTGGCAATACCAGCCCATGTTATATATACATAGCACGAGGTGAACAATGCCAGCCTGGAGGGAAAGAATGGCTCCCACCCTGGCTGGGTACCCATAAATCAAGCTTCTCGCAAGAACACCAACCTCGTATTAACCCTAAGCAGTATCATCGTGCACCTCAGCCTCAGCCTCTACCTTCTCCTCTCCCACTGCTAGGAAAAACAACGCATCTTGAAGGCTGTTTCCAAGACCAGACAACCCTCTCTTCTTCCTTCTGAGCCTGAACGTTCATCTGGTTAGTTCTGTTGGGAACAACCCCGCTCTCCTCCTGCTTACTCTGCCAGATTACTGGGGGTAGTTTTTTGGATGAGCTTTGAGACCCAAGAGGAATGCCCCCTTAGATCAACCCTGCCCAACTTACCGAGTACCTTTGAATGAAATAGAAATACTTGTAGAAGGCTGGGGAGACTGCTCCTCTTGGACACCTAGTTGGAAATGCATGAAGAACCACTCATGGTACATCCTTGCTACAACTTTCTTACCACATACCATCATATACTTACCCATCTACAAATCAAAAGTTCAACCTTTTCCTTCTGTCCTGCAACAACCTCTTACCAAGGCAAAGAATGAAGGGTGGATCATACCAGTCCTTGGTTCTTGTAAGCTGTCACCTCCTATAAGGCCCTGACAACCACAGCCTGTTTGAAACAGTCCTGCTATCCTTCCCTGTAACTTGTGACTCATGCCACATCATCCTATGACTTTTTGGCACCTTCCATTGTCTTCTTCTCTACACCTTGTTTTTCACCTGTTGCTGTTTGGCCCCACCCTGCCCATCAGATCTGACATCTCACAGCGTAATCAACAACCTCCCGGTGACAACAGCCTGCTGATGCCAAAACCAACACAGAGCTGCTGCAGGGATGAGAGCAGAGTGGACGGGAGATGGGTTTGCCATCCACCCACTTTGTTTTCAGCAGATGGACTTCCAGTTCAAGCACTCTCATTTACAGCAACTGTGACAGAACCAGTGACTAAGGATCTCAGTAAGGACACCTGCTGATCACAAGTTATTTAGGAACATGGTATGGATGGGGCTGTTTGGCAGCTGTACTCTTTCCACATCTTTTTGCTGAGAGAAGTAATTTCATGACATAAAGGCCAGCAATAACATTTAAGACAATGCATTAAAAGGAGAGACAGTCCAAATGCAAGCAGGTACTTTGGTGTTTGATATAGGAACTTCTCAGTGGTTTCAAAAGGAAAGCAGGTGCGTGAACCGTTTCGTGAAACCAGACGTACCAACTCAGGCTGTACTGGGAAACGCAAACTAGCAAGCGCACAGTTAACACCTGCCTAATCAACCGAATCAAGGCGATGTGAAAAAAATCTTGATATGCAGGGGATGTCTCAGTGCATGCAACAAACACCCCAAAACAATGACCTTGTGGTGATGATGTTTGCACGATCACAACACGTAAAAGCCACAGCCGTGGACTGAACTGAAACACGGCAGGTGCCACATGACATAAATATGTATTTTTAGATACTGCAGGTGCAATATTATACAGCCCTACCAGAGAGAACTGTGACAGCAATATTACCAGCGCAATGCTACTTGATTACTATTTTTCAATCCCTTTCATTTACTTGGAAAAGAAGTCTTCAGGGCTGTTCTGCAGCCACTTCACGTTGTATGTGCCAATTTACACAGGGTTCGTTAGCAAGAAGGCTGTTACCTTGCTTTTTTTCTTTATATATACTGTTTATACTACAGCTGTCTGGGGCTACAGAGTAGTAGGCACTACGCAAATAACCATTTGCCGGATTGTGATAATTTGGAAAGAAAGAAGGATGCTGGAAACCCTCAGTTCAAGTCCCAAATAAACCACTGCTTTCCAATTGCCTTGGGCAAGTCACTTGATCTTCCCGTAATCCCGTCTTGAAAACAGAAATTAATATTTCTTTACCTGGCAGGGAAGCTGAGAGCATAAACCCATTAAAGACTGCAAGGAGTTCAGATCCTATAGAGATAAGCAATTACTTAATACACATGCAATGCTTGGAAGCATATGTTGGTTGTTTCAAAATATAGACAAAACTGCTTGGTCCAATGAGCACATGAGATACTTTCTCAATAACAACAAAAAAAGCAAAGCAGCAGCAGAAAAACACCAATAAACTGCAAGTTGGCTCTGGAGAGATGAACAAACTCTCATCTAACTGAATATTTATTTCTGCTATGAATATGTGCTCTCTTGGAGACAGAAAAAAGTTATCTCCTGCAGAAGTTGTGCAACTAATTTGGGTATACAGAAAAGGAAACATCTACCAAAGACAGGACTGCAGGAAACAGTATGATGCCAAGTGCTACGGTTTTATAACAGAAGAAACCATACGGAGTTACAAAACAACCTAGAGTACATCTTTATTGATGATTCACAAAATCAAACATCATTCACCTAATTCACTCCAGCAGTTCCAATGTGACATTTTTCCTTGTTAGGTTTGGCTGATTTTTCCAAGGTAAACAATATTTGCTTTTAACTTGGGGTGGGGAGAATCATGCTTTACAGTAGCCATTTCGTAAGAGCCAGTGCATCACAGCCATGACAATACTTCACAATTTTATAATACTCCATCTTCAAAGCACTGTGCAGGCATTTAATTAAAGCCTATTAAAGCCTCACAGCAGTCCTGGCTCCAGGCCATTCTAGGTCACACTTCCTTATTAATATTTCACATAAAACGCCCACTACCTCCCAACAACGCTTATTCAGTACTTCCATGGCTTGTACCAGTCTCGTGAGAATCTTAACCCTTTAGTTAAGTGGGATTTATTAATACTCCTGAAGCACACTGAAGACACAAACTGCTATCAAATTAACTGCAAGTGTGCTTCCATACTCTCACCAGAACATATATTATTTTCAATAAGCCAGTATTAAATTTACCAAGAGTTTCACTGATAGAAAAATTATCTTGATTTCCTACTAAGACACACATAGTCATATCCTAATATGTTATATACATATAGTCATACCAGCAGTTTTCTACATGAGTCAACTGCTGAACTACAGGAGACAGGAGTGAGAAAACCTGGGGAAAGGAATAACATCTTTGATATTGTCAACTCCCAAGATGCACTGCAGGTAGCGTTCAAACCCCATTCCGAAGCCTCCATGAGGAACTGAGCCGAATTTTCGGAGGTCTAGATACCTGTAATTTAAACAGACAGTTACATTTGCAGCACGGTTATGCTGATGTAATTAAGAGAGCTTTTTATCTAGGGTTTTGCTTTCCATCTTAATTACTTCCCTTTGATCCTAAGCACTATGGGTTTCTGCCAACACAGCCAGCGTTGGTCAGGGGTGTGAAGAGGTGCGGCTCCCTGACAGGCAGAACTGTATTAGCAGAAACCCCAAGTGCAAACCCGTTTAAACCAGCGTAGCAATGGTTTGCCAATACACTAGAGCCCGTTTTGTTTAGGAGCAAGAACTCATTTGGGTACGAAGAACAGCTTGAACATCATAGCTCTGCTGATATTGAAAGCATCTTTGTAAATTTTAGTATCTAAAATATTCGTAGCAGAGGTACAAACCCAGGTTCCTACAGAAACACAAAACATTTCCGCTGCTGGAGATGGAGTTGCCTGCTTGGGTTTGTTTAGTCCTTGCCATGCTGGTACTGAAATCCGCCCTACAATAAATTCTTTCATTTTCTGTTTTCTTTTCAATAGTCGAAGTAATTTCATTTCCAGTAATTTCTTCAGAAGCCTAAATAGGTCTTGCTGTCTGCTGAATATTCCTTTTATTTTTCCTTTTAAGGTAATTATGATGGCTTTTTGTTACTTCTTCCCCAATCACTCTTATAGACTGATTCATTTATTTCCACAGTATGTCAGCAAAAAATCTTGGACATATCTTCTCCAAAAATGAGATCTGGAACAGGAAATTTCATTTTGGAGAACAGCACCTGTTGTGCACAGAAAACTCAGAAAATGTTTGGAAGCAGATATTCCAAATATATGGGTGTCAACAAGATTATGCTGGTTCTTTAGATTTCTCCATTTCCCAGCTGGACTGTGGCTGATGTGATACACAGGAACTATATTTGCAGCTATAAATTGTCACCTACAGTTTTATTTTAATAGGAGTGAAAAACATCTCAGTGGTTCTATTGATTTATGGGGCCACTTCTGAGCTTGCTAAGGCCACAAAGTTATTCTTTATAGGAATGCACTAGTAAGGGATTGAGTGACTCCAGATGTATGACATGCTTCTAATATTTGTGTATGAATATTTTATCATTCCAGTTTAAAAAAAAATAATAATCAAGTACACTTAAATATAAATACATATATGTTTTTCTACTTAGGCAGTAGAGTGGAGGGGGAAAAGCACCGTGAAAAAAAAATTACGATTGGATTGATTGTAATAAATGGCTTCCCAAATTTTAACTACCGTTAATGAACTGCAAGGAAAAAGTGTATTTTATAGTGTGTGTATATACATATTTATATAAATTGATATTTATATGCAAAATGTACATTATATATATTTAAGTGTACTTGCTTGGACAGAATTTTGTTGGCTTGAAGACTACATTTTAACAGAGTGAAGCCAAAGTAACACCACTGATCTCCTCTTAAAATTTGCTAAAATTTGGGAAGCCATTTATTACACTCAATCCAGTCTTGAGGGTTTTTTTCCCCTCCATTCCACTGCCCAAGTAGTAAAACCAGAAGCAGAACTTCATAGAGTCATATAACTTCTTACCTCCTCCTACTAGCACTGACACACGACGCGCAGTTATGCCTATACTGCATGTTGAACAGCAGGCTCAAGAGTGGGACGTATGTTTTCTGATCTCTGGGACCCACGTGCTTTCTATCTGTGCTGCTGGGTTTTTGCTTGGCTTGCTACGGCTCAGTTGTATCTACCTCACACCTTGTGACAAAGATCATGCTTAGGATATGAACATGTAGGCTGTGCAACAGCACGGTGGTCTTCATCTCTACCCACCTCATACAGACTGCATTTAGAAGAACTTGAGTTTCACTGGGAACTGCCCCCGGGGAGCTCCACTTTGCAGCTTTTCAAGGGTTTGCAAGGAAGATGATGGGCAGATCTGACGACTTGTAAAATAGGAAAGACCTCTTAAATATGAGGGATATTGGTGCTGGCCGTGGCAGATCAACCTGTACCAGCTCAAAAGTTCTGAGCAGAACTGGCAAACCAGCTGGTGACAACTGTAGCCGTAACTAGTAATATAAATAACAGCACAAATATTTCTGCTGACGTTTATGAGCATATCTCAGCCTGTGCAAAGACAGTTGAGACTAAGCCTAGCATCTTTTCTCCCCTTTTGCTGGCAACAGAGTTTATAAAGTCATTGTAAGGAGATAAAATAACTCAGCTTCTTCCAGATGAACAATAATAATAAATTCTATGGTTGCCTATCCAGGGCTTTCATCTGTAGATCTCAAAGCACTCTGAGAAGTCATTTTGGCAAAGGGAGCGAAACAAAACCCATTAAAGTTAATGGAAAAAGTCCGTTGAATTAAACGTGCTGAGGATCAAGCCTGTGAATCCTTTCTGATGACTGTGCTTAGAAGAAGCAAAGGAATTGAGAAATTTTCCATTCTTCCCAGATGAAAGAAAAAGTAACTGCCTGCAGATGAAGGGAAAATTCCCTTTAGACTGGAAAATGCTCCCTGAGGTCTTCCTACATTCAATAGTCTCCAGACACTGGATGTTTCTCACCTCAAAAACAGTCATGAAGTAGTCTAGCTATTTCTCCTAGTAGCTCATATTTAAGAGGAGAGCTGAGCCCTCCATTGGCAACTGGGAGAATGTGCAACATTGTTCCATGGGGGAAATAAGTTTCTGCGACCCCAGCTAGCCCTGGAGTTCATGTTCTGGACCTGGAGGATTGGTAGTTCTGCAGAGATTTGAATCTAACTAAAGTATGTGCTGCAACAACGTCCCCCGGCAATGAATTCCAGGAGCTTGTTATGTGCCAAGTTAGAAGAGCATTTCCTTTCATCCTTTTAAAAATCTATACCCTTTTATCATCATCACGAGCTCCTGTGTTGCACGGCAAGGCACTATGAAGATCAGTGCTCTCTCAGCGACCATTCATAAGCAGAATGTATTCTTTTCGGTCTCCTTTCAAAACAAATATAATCTTGATCTTTTATGTAACCCTCTTGCTATACTGAAGCCTCTGCAGCTAGTTTGAAAAAAGTAAGGCTGAAAGAACAAAGATATTGTAGCCCATGAAGTTGAATACTCTACTGAAAAAAAGGAAAAAAAAAAAGGAGGATAATGAAAAACTACTAGTGAAATGACATTTGAAAGGCCATTTTGTTGAATGTTTCAGGAAATAAACATGCAAAGCATCGCCAGGTTCTGATGCTGGGTAAAACACTGTCTTTGGTTTAAGACAGCTTCTGCTCTGCTACAGCTTTTTGGGAATCCACAAAAAAAGCATTCAGGGACATCAATCTAAACCACTCCCATTGGCACGAGTGGGGTCTGGGCATGTTTTGGCTGGCATTAGCACTGACTTTCTGCCTGCTTCCGTACGGCCCAGGACAGCGCTCTTGTTTCTCCCCAAAGCAGTAGTAATAATAGGACCGGATGCCTGTGAAGGAGAGTGATGTGCTACCCGTTTTCGCTGGGCCCTGAAGAAGGTTAAAGGATGATACGAATGCCGTCACTGGCCCTGGATTGCAAGTGGGCTCACCAGTGCTGCTGTTCCTTAAGTCCAACTCCTCCTTTCTACCTCGCCACACAAGGACCCAACAGAACACTCTGGCATTCCAGCTTCAAAGAAAATGAGAAATTAAAGAGCCCAACACAGCTCAATCTTCTCCATCTAGAGCAGGAGCAAGGCCAAGATAACACAGAAGTATCCATTCTAAGATAGCAGGTAACACTTGCTCTGCCACTGTGTACTTTCACCAGCATTACACCAGAAGATCAGAAAGGTTCCTGGACTGTAGAGGGTTCAATATGAGGCCATCTTCTCCACTGATGCCATGACGATAATCAGAGTGAGGAAATGGGTGCCTTACATGGAGAAAGACTGTCTGAAATGCTGCTCAAGCTGATGGTAGTGGGGACACATTGTTCATTACAAAGTACCTGCTCTGTTATTGCTCGTGCTGAGCTGGCACCTGGAGGCTGCAAACGGGATCAGGACCCCTGTTTACAAGGCAATATACTCAATACTCCCTGGTCACAGAGAAAGCAAATGAATTCTCAGAGTAAATTCTCATCGCCCAACTTTCCCACCTCACTTCCACAGACCTCTCTCAGTCTAGCCAAGATCAGCATCTACAGCACTGAGCTCCTTTCTATCTACAGTTCAAAGGAAGGAGTGTGAAAATAAGATAAAACAACTCTGCAAAATCAAGCCAAATAATTTTGCAACTCATATTCTTTACGGAAAGAAACCTGCACAGCAGCAAAGATGTAGTGAACTGAAGAAGATTTAGAGGACTTTGACCACGTCCCTTTACCTATGTTTTTAAAAAGCTTTCTAAAAGGTAGGAATGGGCAGAAGCGTAACGGTATTCCAGATCATCAGTTGGCTCTTTGCCCAGTGATTCTCCCACAAACAAGGCACTCCTGAAGCTGTCCTAGAAGTAGTCGGCCCCCACAATGTCCTCATGCTTAGTGGGAGAGGAAAACAGGTAGAAACAGAGATACGGCAATATATAAGGGATTTCAGAAGGGATCACATCTCATTGAGTTGCCCATTCTAAAGTCAGAAAATATTACATTTACAAAAGAATGACTCAAATGTTCTTCAAGGAGTTTGTGAGCCAGCTTTGAAGACTAAATTCAATCACTAAATTGGAAGGGATTAATTTCAGTCTCTCCTGCCACCTCCACTGAAAGATGGATGCTGGCAAACCATCTACCTGTTTTCTGGCAGATTCTGGACTATAGTCCAGAAGCGTCCAGGATTACTCCTATTCTGCACTTTCCCAGGACACCAGACCCTGCTACAGCAGGGGGTAACAACAGTTTTAATCTTTGCTGGGAAGTTACATCATTTGCGATGGAGCGGAGGGAACAGAGGGGGAATGAGTCTCTAAAATGAGATTACAGAAGGAAAGAATTTCCAGAATGTGATTGCTACATTTCACGTGAAAATGCAAATAGCTGACACGCAATGTCTTAATCTTCTCTCTTAAGGGAAGCATGAGGCAGGGCTGAGCTATCTTAGTAGTGATGAAAGGCTCTGCCACCAAACAACAGACTACCTCAGGCTGTATCTCAGCATGTAGCCACACAGCTGATCATCCTTGGTCGGGATAATCCTTCCCTCAGATGAAGTGATACGGTGTATTGTGGTCCATAAATACAAACAACAAAGGAAGACATTTCATTCACCCTGTTTGCAAATGGATGATGTAAGGGTCTGCCATGCACTGGGCTGTTCCTAAGTGATCTCATACTGAGGGAAGAGGAGAGTGAAGAATCCCTACACTTATTTTGCTTTTTTTCAAGGCAACCTCCCTAATGATCATTCCAAACACTGCAGAGTATTTGAAGATACTCTTCTAAATTTAAAATTCTCTGTGCTATCACCTCTCAGTAGCTGTGACAAAGTACCTACCAAGAAACATTTGTCAAGACTAACATTAAGATCCTTCTGTCGTTTTAATAGGCTAAACCGTTAATTCAAAGGTTGTTCTGTCTCCTTAGCAGGACAGTTTTAATTGCTTCAACTGCTTTGTTAGGGAAGATTTTTCGACCCAATTGCCCTGTCAATTACAAAGGGAGTTATTCATAGAGCTGTTAAAGGTCACAAATTGCTTGTGGTTCTGTAACCTGTTTATCTCGTGTGATGGCGGACAGAATCTATTCAATATGGAACACAGCTTAATGATTTAATACCAAAAATCATTGATGGATTGTAAATTAATCTACTTCATGCAATCCTGAAAGGAATGACCTGTGCTGTGAGTGGAAAAATTGGGAAGATAAACTAAGTAGCATTAGATTAAACTTTGTTTAAATGAACTGGCTGTTCCATTTAGACTGGCAGTGACAGCAGGGCAACTGGGCCAAGAAATGTCCCCTCAAGAACAGGATCAAAAAAACAAAATAGTTGTTTAGAGTCTCAAAAGAACAAACAGAGCTTGCAGATCAAGATAGTGTCTTACCATTGATAGGCATCTGTGAGTCCTAGTCTGTGGAACAAAAAGAAAACCCCGTGTAAGTAAAGGAACAGAGGAGATCTGCACAAGCAGCACTTCCCTGGAAAAGAATGCTACAAGAAAAGGGAAGGTCTGATGACTAAACTCAGTCCAAAAACGAAAGGCAGGAAATTAAGGGAAGACATGATCAGTGCTGTCAGTTCTGGTAACTGGGAGACAATCTTGAACAGATTCCCAACATGCTTCTTAAAATGCAAAGTTTGTTTTGTCACCATCCCAGCTTCATGCAAAGACTTGTGCACATTCTTAACTATAAGCATATAGGTAAACTCTACTTGTGAATGTTCAGAGAGTACAGGCCCAAATATTAGATTTACAATAACATGCAGCCAACCTCATTTATGAGTGAGGCAAAAATCTCTTCATACATGTGGCTATGTGGCTCCCCTTCTGCAGTGCACAAACCCACAGAACTCCTGTCGCTTTACTAATGTGTGTCAACTCCTGTAAAACTACTAAATAAAATACGTCTTTTTCTAATTGCCACCAGAGCACCCTCTTCCCTTTTCAAGCCCTGGCAGAATCAGAGTGAAGTTGTTGGTTTTTTTCCCTCATTTCTCTGAACATGAACAGAAAACTCCGTAGGCGAAGAGAGACCACTTCTCTCATCTTCAGTGCATTGCAGCTATCCCTGATTGAGACTTGGAGAGCTACTGTATGAAGCGTGTATAAGGAGACAAGAATCTCCTTCTTTCTCTCTCCTAGTTGTGCTGGGTCTGCAGGAAGTAGAATTTAAAACCCTTAACAAAGTATTTGGGCTCAGCAGATCAGATCCTGAGTACTCAAAATTAAGGAAAACGTAAGACAGGTGTTTTGCTTCCAGGTCATCTTCAATGCAGAGCTGTACTTTAAGGTCACTGAAGACACACCCCATTTGTAGCTTGAAACACTTCCTATGGCTTTCCTGACAAACAAGAAAGTCTGGCATCAACCTCCACAAGGACCACTCCTGCTTCCCCACGCCTTGAGGGCTGTGGACTCCAGATCTTACCGGCAAAAATTTCACGTGAAAAAGTGCAGCTGGCAACATTGTACTTTGTTTCAGCTAAAGCATGCCTGCTTAGGGAAGAGTTCACAGGCAGAGTGACAGAAAGCACAGGGAATAATATCATCCTGCACCACAAATTAAGAACCAATGCTCTGGTGATTTTAAATTGCCCTGTGCCTTTTGGATTCATTATGCTGAAATGGATTGTGCTCTTCTCCACTGACTAGATATATCTCTGTGAGCATGTGGCTGATTTAAGCAACAAATTCATTCCCAATGTGAAAATGATGTTACTCTGGGATTAATCCTCCTACAAAATTGCTTTGCACAAGTGTACGACTGGCACAAATGGACTCATCTGAGTTATGAAAAGTTCTTTTGAACAATCAGACAGGATACAGGGAGTAATTGTCTGTGGAGAATTACCCCATCTATAAAGTCGATTATTGTTAACTAAACGGCAACTTTGATATTCTGACATTGAATTGAGCCTAAAATCACTCAAAATCACACAATCCAGAATGAAGTTGCAGGAAAAGAGCCCATATGACTCAGTACAGGTCCCAGGCACTTCCAATGAGGCTTCCCACCAAACTGTTAGCAAAGAACTGCATTCTCTTAAACGATGCCACTGAGGCCAGCTCCATCACAGCTAGCAAAGCTTCTGACCAAAACTGCAGTTCCTCAGTTATATGTGATGACAAATATATCTAAGTTCTGTCTACGTGACAACTTCCACCTTCGCAATCCACTCTCAGCCACAAAAGCTGTGAAGAAAAGGCTTGAGGATGAAGTGCCTCACACCAGACTCAGACAGTCTCAGCAGAGCCGAGGCATTCTGCTGCCCTGGCTTCCTAGTATAAAACAAACTCTCCTTCTGCGATGAGCTAAAACAGAGAGGCACTTTGCATACCTACAGCAGAAGCACAAGACCTTCTTCACCAGTTCACCTACTGGGATAAATAGATATCTCAAAGACAACTAATAGGGATTTTTAAAATAGCATTAGTTGCCCTTCTCTGTCTTGCCAACCACTGAGAGCTGCTGAACCACTCTTGGTCAGGCTAGTCTCCTGGCACCTGTGGGTTTTCCATACCTCTGTAAGCGTGACTCGAGGAAGGGCAGTCGCTCCTCTCTCAAGCTGCCTCCACACAATTCTCCTATTCCTGGTACGAGGAGATCAACAGCTGCAACCTTAAAAGAAAGAAATCTAACATAACTCATGCCATGTAGCCATACGGTCTACAGCAGTAGAGTTGATACTGGATAGCTGTTTGTAAAAAGCTGCTGTTATTGAGTCCAGGATGCTTAGGTAAGTATTTGCAAATGCTTGAAAAGTTGCTTGTTGACAGGAGAAGGCTGGGAGGGAACTTTACAATGATAAACACCAGTAAGTCTAAAGAAAACCTAAGCAAGTGCAGTGATGTTCCAGACTGAGGACATCTACAGCAGGTGGTGTGAACTGAATCGCACCAGGTTACTCTGGTGACAACCTGTGCATGTCGGTAAGGCTGTGCAGGGTATAAAGAACCCAACAGTAGCTCACAAGGAGGCAAAGACACACGGGCAAGTTTCCCAAAGCCTTGATTCCCTTAGAGTTTAAGCTGCTCTGATGCTTGTAACTTGTGTTTACCCCGCCTGCCCCCATTCCTTGAGTCAGCTCTAGTGGATCAATGGCACTGATGTGCCAAGTGTTAGGATCCCAGTGGTGTCACCTATGCTGTTAGGTGTGGGCTGGTTTTCTTCTGTTTTGTTTTGTAGAGTTACTTCTCTTATCCCACAGCTGAACTGTTGCTAGATTTAAAGCCAGTGAAGTGACAGTGACACACAGTGGGGCAGTCACTCTTTTTAGTGCAAGCAATGTTTCAGGTTGTTTCACTTTAAGTGGGAAATCACACGTTCAAAGCATGAGACTTGTGGAGGAAGAGTTTACGTCTTGTGCCTATCTGCTATTCGTGGATTATATGAATAGTAGATTTGGATGACAAGAGAATCATGGACTGCTTGGAGCCATGCAATCCTAGATATTTCACCTAGTACTACAGAAGTCTATCAGAAAAAGCAATAAACTATGGCAAACCTGTCTTAAGAGATTTAAGCAAAAACTTAATGCCATCCAACTCCTGAATCTTCCTCCTCCTGTCGTTCCTTCTTTAAGGATTTCTTCTACAACAGGAAAAGACTGGATAGGATCACCAGATCATCATGTCTTATCCTGGACTTCTTGAGTGGGAAGCCCAGCAGAAGACTATCCTTATCTATCTATCTATCAGCAGACTAAGACACAAGCTTAGCCAAAAAGGAGGTGGAATTGCGACCCATGGACTCACTGTGTGTTGAGGTCCATCTTCATTGTCCCGCATGTAGAAAGGTTTGAGGTCGTATGGGTAGTTAATCACAAACACGGGAACTTCACCACAGTGCTTCACCAGGTACTTTTCATGTTCTGTTTGGAGGTCGCAGCCCCACTGTAAAGACAGCAAAAGGGACCTGGGATCCTGCTTCGGTGCATCTTGCCTGTGGCAAGAGACATGGCAAAATCCTGGTGTAGGAGAGATGTGCAGCTTTGAATAACATGAAACCAAGGACAGCATCTCCTCACACAAGCCACTCTGAAAATTTGCTAAGCAGACAGAGAGTTTCATGAGTTTTAAGGCAGAGCAAAGCAATAAAAATAACATGGTTTGACTTCCATAGAACAGGGCCAGATCATCCCTGCATCAAGCCCAAGCATCTGGTATCAAATCAGAAAAAAACCCAAACAAACAAACAAACAAAATCCCCCAAACCACACTCCACATAGCTTAAGGGAAACAGGCACCTATCCAAAATCAGCTTAGTCAACTCAGCAACCCAGTCTTATTTCTGTATTACCTTTGGTATACAGAAAAAAGCTTTGCTAGGCTGACCACTCTCTTCCCTGCTGTGTTCTGTTACATGCTACGTTAATTCTCACTTAAGAAAACCCAGCATCCTATCAACCAATTCTTTGTTATCAGAAACCCTGGACATTTGCAATTCCCCTCACTCCTCCTTTCTTCCAGTGATGTTATAATTTCTCTTGCTTTTGACTAGCCCACTATAGGATGTGCAAAGAATATCGGGGGAGTGGAAGGGGAAGAGGGGAACAGATATTCCGGAGACTCTCCTCATCTGAAAATATCCTGAGTTTGCTGTCTCAGCTCAAGGTAGTACAGATACAGGATTTGAGGTTCTACACCCACTTGTACACAGAGACAAGACAGCTACCCAACCAGCTACAAAGGAGGCTTCAGCCAGAGGGTCATTTTCCTCAAAGCATCAGAATGAGATAAAGATTAATCAGTATATACATGAGATGAGCACCACCGCATATGCTCTCCCTACTGGTGTGTGTGTTTGAAATTGGGCGAAATATGATTTTTAGAAAACCATAATCTAATAGTGTTAGAAAGACTAGCATGTGATTCTTTTGCCCAGTTAACGTCTATGCTTTGGAAAGACAAGGGACTCCCTTTACCTACGTCTAGATTACACGTATTCTGACAGGGTTTTGGCTTATTAGTCCTTGTCAAACTCTTGGTGCTATCCTATCATTCCTTTATGTGAGAACTATTGCAGCAACTCTTCTTACATGATTGCTACTAAAACCAACACATTCAGCACTACATGCATACAGGAAAGAGAAGCGCCTTTGCTAAAACCTTGGTCCTTCAACAGCAGAACCCATCACCTCCCTCCCTGCAAATGTTACATGTTCTTCTGCTACAGATCCAACTCCTTATATTGATCCCATTTCAACCCCAAAGGGCAAAAGTTATGCCTGGGTTACAACCCAGCAAACACCCCAAGTACTCTTGTGGTATCAGAAAGAGAGAAAGGAGATCTACACAGTTCAGGCTGGCTGTGCCTAGTAACTACCTACCTCTGGCTTGAAAGTGAAAGTTTGAGAAGCTTGCTTCAAAATTTCCACTGCTTCATTGTAGGAAATTCTGCAAGAGGAAAAAAAAAAAGTCTTTAAGATAACTATGAAAGGAATAACAAGAAAGTTTTCTGGCTAAGTGTCGCACTGGAAAATTAAGGAAGCATTTCCCCAACACCATGCCAACTTGTGCTATGATGTCAGACTTCCCAGCAATGTTTCTTTGGACAGAAACCAAAAACCATTTTATACGGCAAGAACCCTATGCTTTCCTGTGCTTCAGCTACATGCAGGGCAGGAAGTGTAAAGCTCTCAGCACACTTCTGCATTACTACAATGTTGCATTTCAGTCTGAAGTGAGCTCTGCAGAGAACTGCTTCAAAATGTGCAGATTTTTTTTTTTTTTTAAGAAAACAATGTGCCCTCATTGGCATAGCTCCAACAACATGGCTCAACTGTTTAGGACAGTGTCAGTCAAAAATAACAGCCCAGAGTGCAAAGGGCTTGTAGCTCAAACATTTTCATTTTACTTTGCAAAAACTATGAGATTTATTTGCAGCAGTGTTTCCCTACTCCTGACAGATCTGAGAGCAGATTCTCCACCAACTTCCACCAGTACAATAGAGTAGCATCATGGCAGAGCAAACAGAACAAGCGCAGTGAAAGATACTGCAGACTTGATAACTGGAAGTCAAGACTCAATGGAAGATACTTTTGCTGACAAGTTTTCTGCATACCAAGCAAATGTGGACAGAGAGAAGAAAGAATAACCTGATCACAACAATTTCATCTCTCTGTATCATTGGCTAAATCCAATTATAAACCAAATTCCCTAAAGAGCGTGAGCTCTTTACACCCAGCTACAAGGTTTCACTAATACAGGGAAGGCTTCTGGAGGAAATACCTCAAGAAGGAACATACTGCTCCATGCGTTTGGGTCATGCGAGGCCATGGTCCAAATGAGGTATATCACTGGCACAGGTTCAATGCATGGAACTGATGTGTGTAAGCCAGGAATGCTCCGGATCTGCCAGCAGAGAGAGACAGAGCGGGAGAGAGAGATGGGCTGACTCACTCTCTTTTTCCTTAGACCACAGGAGAAGCTGAGTACAACTCTGTCCTCTCAGGAATATCAGATCCAAAGAGAAGAGGACTGAAACGGGAAGAGAATGACTTCACTGAGGTCTCCCGCGGTGCTTACGCAGGCACAAGGCACCGGGAGGATCTATCCTGATCCTGTTGCCCAAGCGTGGCTGTAGCTGCTTTACAGGAAAACCAGTGCTGGGCTGAGCAGCCCTACAATGTTCTGTGGGATGAAGACAAGAGTAGGGAAGGGGAGGTATTTTTGGGGAAACCGAAACCCTTCAGTTGTTTAGCACACAGAGAACTGCGAAAAGGAGTTGCGCAAGTAATCGGGAAAAGAAAACCAATTGGGATTTGTAAATATCAAAAGAATAGTTTCATCAAAAGGGAGCCCTTAGAGTGGAAGAGTGAAGGAAGGCAGAGCACCAAAGCCAAAACCAAGCAAGACAGTGAGCAAACCACTGCACAGGTACATGCTGGAAGGAGGATACCCTTACAGAAAGAGGATCTTGTTCAGGGAAGCTAAAGCCAAAGGCCAGCAGATTCAGATGCCACTCTCACACAGAGATGAAAGGGCAACTGGTGAACAGTACAAAGGGAACTGCAATTCATGCCCTTTTGCAGGCATTATGCTAACCCAGAAGACACTGAGTTGGGAAGAAAAAAGAACATATACAAAAGAGGAACTCGTTCCCCAAAAGTCCCCTTCCAGATCATTTTGAAATCAAAATACTTACGTCACAAATTTGTTCTTCAGCATTTGTTCCAACCTGTCCTTGGTCAAAACAAGAAAAAATAAAAATGTAAAGCTACTCTTAAGGGTTCAGGGTCCCAGAGAAAACTCAGAGAAGCTACTTCCCTCTCAGTTTTAATTTGTAGGTCTGCATTGTGATCTAGATATGGGTCAAAATCCACTCCTGGCCATTCAGTGCTAAAAGGGTACCCAACTATTGGAGCTGATGATTCAGAGGCTGCCAGATGATGTGACAGCTACAATTCTACCATACTTGCTACCAGCTACAGAAAGTTGTGTCTCCCCTCTCTGTTGGCCTGAACAATCACTCAAGCTCAGGCTTATTTTTAGTTTGTTAACACATGCCAAATTAAAAAAATTAAGCATCCCTATAGTCAAGAGCCCCCAAAATGCGTAACGGGATTGCAGCTCTTTCCTGTCACATTCATTACCTTCTGGGTAGGAGCTATATATTTATGAAAAAGCTCGACATCACGAGGACATTTGGAGAGAACAGTGCTTGCCGTTGTCTTGAAGAGATCTTCCATAACCTAAAAGAGAAAACAGGAGAGCATGAAAAATTAACACTGCTTAGATGTCCCAGACTATAAATAAAACACGGTACACATCAGCCAAAGGAGCTTCAGTCCTTCTGCATGGTCAGACTGCATAAGAGGGTACCAGCTCGCTAATGCTCCTAATTAGCAGGCCTGCTCAGTAGCTGGAGAGGACTGGAACCTGTATTTCTGCTGTGGGTTTAGGGCTTCAGCGTCTGCTGATCGCCTCAGTATCAGTCAGGTATCTCCAGTGAAAAAAGCACAGCTAAAATATTCGAGCAGCAGCCCTGGTCAGCCACAGACACACACGTTACAACCACTTGTAGTGACTGGTCTCAGATTAATTGTTAGTGAGGCGTCTGTCCCGTAATGAGCAATTGTGGTTTTCTGCTTTGTTGTTAGAAGAGGCAGAACTAAAGGAGAGGAGAATAAACGTGTGCTGTGTAGAGACAGTCCATCAAACAGATCCCAGCTACAGAGACTCTGCACAGTAAGAGCAAAGCAAAGAGAACAGGTACAGAGATGAACAGTTAAGAACTAAAGCGGAGGACACATCAATTAAGGGATGTTTGAGAAACTAAAAAAAGATGTGGTTTTATTTCCGTAAACTAATGTGGATTAACTAAATGACATTATCATCCCATTTGGATATACTTATCCAGTAAAATGGGCTTCACCCATGAAGAAATCAAAATGCCATTTTGGTTCTAAACAAAAAAAGCCCCCACGTGGAATGCCACTGCATTTTGATCAACCTGTTTTAAGAGTAATTTTCTCTTTTGGTTAAGCAAAGCAGACCATCCAAGATGCTTGCTGTTGTGCAGATTAAGAGTTCCCATGACTCCTCGTAGACTCACGCCTACACAAAGCAGGTAGTTGATATCTGTGCAGTACTGATGATTTTCCAGTCCTGGAAAATGCCTTTTTTTTTTTTTTGCAACCATAACAACTGCTTCATTAATTGCAGAGTTGAGAGAAGTGAAGTATCCACTGATGATATCTAGGTGAGCACCAGTCCCTAGACACCGCAAAGCCCAGGGGAGACTAACTGTGAAAAGATGAACCTGATGTTCAGTCAGCAGTTCTGAGGAAGAAGCAAGTCTCTGCCTTTCAAGGAACCAGATCTCACAGTGTAAGAGGAACAAAAGGCAAAGAAAAGAAGAAGCTGGGCTACTGACATAGCCAAGATGAGATTTCAGGCACATTGTTAAACTCTCATGTTTACAAGAACATCCTTCATCACCCGTCCCAAACTGCTGAAACACTGCTCTGTGCTGATAAACCACCTCTGCATCTCACCAGCCTCCAGAAGCTGGTAAATCAGCCCATTTTGACTCCTCCGGAGCCAAACTCAGCCTCCAGACTCCTGCATCAATCTGGGCCCTCTTTTTAAAAAGGGAAGATCCAAACAAAGGAACAGCATTATCATATGCAGATGAACAGTTGTACCCCTATCGATACTCAAACACAGAGGAAATGAAAAGCTAGCTCTCCTGCTACTCAGTGGCAAATAACCAGTCAGCTTTGAACTTTCTTCAAAGTAGCTAGAAAAAGGCTTATGCAAATGAAATTAGAAAACTTCTTGGCAATTCATCTGGTTTCACCAGGCAGAGACGAAGGGATTTTACATTAAGCTTCCTCTTTCTAGAAAATGAAAGTATCATCTGTTTTCAGAAAAGCATGTTGTTTAATTAGCACTTTTTTCCCTCACTGTGCGATAAAGTAACAATTAGGTTCCCACAGCATTCAACACAAGCAGCTTCCTCTTGTGGAAAAAAAGATGTGGGTGGTATGGGAAAAACAATCTGAGAAATATTTCCAGGTTTGAGACTGAGGTTTTACCCTGGCAAAAAAGACAGACACATGGGTCATGCATTGGCCTCCCCACTGCTCTTACTCTTATTTATGCCAAATGGGTACTAGGCACAAGAAGTGGACGGAAAAAGGAAAAGGGGGGAAAAAAAAAAAAGCTCTTGAATTGAGAAGTTATGGCTTTAAGCAGATAATATAATGAAGGACTGGAAAGTAGGCTGTATGAAAAATGAGTGGAGAAGCATAACGACTGGTTTGAGGGAACACATGAGCTGGAGATACAGGCGAAGTGATTGGTTTGAACGTATCCTGAAAGAAACATGTCCGATAGGAGATTTATACAGGGAAAAAGCCATGAGAATCACAGCAAGTAGCTCATCTCAGAGGTAGGACTCCTGGTGTCCAAAACCACGTTAATTTGGTTGCTTCATAATGGAAACGCAGAAATTGTGCTAGTAGGAGGGCAGTTGAAGAGGACAGAGGCAAAAGTTTTCCTTTCTCCCTCATCCCTCCCAGCCTTTATCTCTTGATTTTCACCTTTCAAAGAAGTTCAGCGATATCAGTCCTGGCCGTCCCCAGTGCTCCTGTGGAACTGAATGGTTAACTCGCCGCTTTTGATTAGGAGCAGCTCTCAACTTATTGTCTAATTTTAACTTGGATGTTCTGATACTGCAACTTATCCTCTTCCCAAATGAAATTATGACCAGAGTTGAAACAGAGCAAATCATCAACAAAACAGTGGTAAATGTCAGCAGCAGCAATTGAAGGTGCTGCACGCTACAAGAAGGGTTCAAATCATCACCTTTATTATGTAAGACACACCCAGAAAAATTGTAAGAACTGCCAGTAGGATTTCTGTTTATGCATTTACCTGGGGCATGCATATGGATGCAGTGTAGATCACAGGCTATTTACATACGAAATATTCATCAAGTGGACCATTATTTCTTGCCTTCATGCTTGCTCACACACACTGTATGTGTATGCACATATGCACACATACATGGGGGAGATCCACATCTGAGCTTGGTCACGAAGTCTCCTCTCTCAGCTATATAACCAAGAGCTCAGGACCCACTCTGGAGAGATGCTGTTGTTATAAAAGGAAGGAGACTCTTGTCTGTTAGATCGCTGCTTCACTGACTATCAAAGCTGAAAAATAAATGCTGATGGAAGTTAGGAAATTTAAAGAACCTCAGCTATGGCAGCTGGGTGCTGCTTCACAGAAGGAACTTATAGCCCTGCAGATAGCCCAATGTCCCTACAGAGCTCTGGGGGCATGGCACTTGGAACAAACCTTTCCCATGTGACTACCAGTGTTTGTTTCCTTGAGGCTGCAGTCAGGTTTGTCCAACGGTCTTAGCCTTGGCACCAAAGACAGAAAGTACTCGGAGTGCAAACTATTCTGGAAATCAAACCGCACCCACGTTTCAGTTCTAAGGTTCCTGAAACTGGCAGCCAACATCAGTGCTACTGTTGATTTCATTTCATGCCAGAATTCCCTTCTGTAAAACAGAGGTAATAATGCTCCATGTCACTGGGCTGTAATGACAGCAGATTAATTTTGATGAAGTACATAACCAGTGGAAGACAATACTTCTGCCCTCAGGACAGAGCTCAAATACTGTGTGTTAAATTGTATTCTCCATCTTAAAGAGATGGATTCTCCATCTCTTAAAGAGACAGCAGTGCTAGGATGCGATCTTGTTAAGGATGACTAACACTATGCATGAACTCCCAAAAATGCCCCCAGGAAAACTTCCTTCTGACTCTTCCTACCTTTACAGCCTAAATAATGGTTTTTTTAGCATTGTTTTGTATGTGTGTTTGATGAAATTCAGTAATGACTGCATCACACGGCCTCTTTGAGACCCCATTAGTGTCATGAGTGAGGTAGGATCCTTTAAATCCACTGCACTGCCCAGACTGTGGAACGAAAAATAGAAGGTAATGTCCTACAAATATGGCTACATGACAGACATCTCAGAGGACAGATGAGACTGGAGACCTAGGACCTCCAATTCAGGGACTGTTGAGTCAATGGCCCTAGTGAGTCCAGACACTTCCATACAAATTGGTCCCCTTCCACTGTCTTACCCGACCTTCTTCTAACTCCCTTCTCATCCAGTTTGGAGGAAGAGTGCCTTGGGGAAACTTGACTCAACTTCTTGACTAGACTCCTCTGGCCACAGAGGCCTCTCCTTTGAAACATTTACAGACACCTTGTGCACTAAAGTGGTAATACTATCACCCAGCCACACAGTATAGAGTGCACTGACTACGTGGGACTTTCAACAGAAAGTATTGTGAGAGTTTAAGCTTCTTTGTAGCACTAAAACAGGTTTTGGAACAGAAAAGAAATTTAGATTGCATGATTAAGACACATGAGACTTCACAGGAACTGTGCTAATTTAGGAATAACTGACCGTTCCTCTGTGCAATTACAGTGGGGAAAAAGGCTGTTGCTCTAAAGGCTCTGCTCCTGAATACATGTAACTGTTATTAAACCTTATTTTTCCTTTTCTTTTGTGAGGAAAGCTATGTTTCTTTTGGAGCTTTGGCTGAGAGAAACATCTCAAGCCTCATCAATGAATGGTAAACGTGCACATCTTTGTAGCAAGGCTCTTCTTTAATGGTGTATAAGCAAATACTTCAAGATGTCCCTGAAGATGCCGCACACTCCCAGCACACTAACTGGCTGAAGTTAGAGGTATTCAGTCCAAATGTTGAATACCGATTTTAAAAATAAATTTTAAACAATCCAGCTCTTTATGTGAGGACAAAGTTCAGATGCGCTAACCCTGGCCAAGAGCCCCCAAGGCTTTCAACTGGGCGTTTTGCACCAAACAAAGAACTTGCAGATGACGACAAACAGACAAATTGCCCAACGGGCAGATACATAAGAGAACACTGAATTTAGGTCAGTTATGCGGGGAAAAAGAAACTTAACTTACTTAACTTAGGTTTTAGAGCAGCTGTCAGTTTTTGGTTTGTTTTTTTTTTTGTTGGGTTTTTTTTTTTTTAAAGAGAGATTGCCCAAGGATTTAAAAATAAACAAAACGGGAACTCCACTTCTGCAAAAGACAACATCACAAAAGCAAGCATGTTGCAATGTAGACTGCTATGAGGAATGCAAAACGATAGCTGCTAGGAGACTTTCTGTTAGAGGGAAAGATGCTTGTCAAAGACTAGGGACAGAGGGAAGAAGTGAAAGAGCAGAGTGCAAGCTGAGACTTCATAAGACGTTTAGCAACAACAAAAGCCAAGTCAAGGGTGGAAGTTCCTCCAGTTCCTCCTTGCCCTACAAATAAAAGCCCTACGCATTCCAAAATAGTTCTCAAATCTAATTCTTTGAACTGGCTGTGTATACTTCGAAAGCCAAGAAATTAGGATTCTCAGCACAAGAGCACAGATACATTTGTGCTGCGTTCAAGGGCTTGAACACCCGAAGACCCTGCTTATTATACTAGATAAAAGCAGTGAAGATTTCCACCAGCTCCTGATACCTAAACAGGGGTCTCAGAAATAAGGTGTAAACATATACACATGCTATACTCTTAAGAATACACACAAAGTTGTTCTGGAGAAAAAGAGAGACAAAAGAAAGAGTAGGGTGCTATTAATGACGGAGCACAGAGATTCCCAATGGATCAGTCCACACAGCCCAGTGTCATCCAGACATCCAAGACGCAGAAGCAGCGCACACAAGAGACAGAGTATGTCAGCTCTGCTGTCAGGCCATGCTGACTCAGCAGACTGTACGTGATCCAGGCTGAAGAAACCATCACCTGGATGTTATTTTATACATCTGTGGCCAGTGCCTCAGGTCTTTTTCTTTTTAAGGCTGTTTCTCCAATAGCTTTTCAAGTTCCTTATCAGATATATGAGAGTGCATGTGGATGTTTACTCACAAGTCCTACTGGGCATAAGCTGGTTTATGCTGAGACTAGTAAAACGCATTAGCATCCATCATGCAGTTAAACTGCAACCAAGAGGTCAAACCTGAAAAATCAAAAGCTAGCTGACTAAGGATTTCCATCTTCTGCTAAAGCCACAGTGAATAGTGTATGCCAGGAACTGTTGTTTCTACTTGAGATTTCAATGCAGGTTTCAAGGAGCTCTTTACAGACACACCAAGGGACACACTGCATAAATACTGCTCAGATTCACTGGAAAGATGCTGAAGGTTTTGAAGGGGAGACTGCCACTTCCATTAGTGCCAGTCAAGCACATGTACACATTTCCTGGCAATACAGCAACCGTGCAGCCTCCCATTCAGATGTGGGCTGAGTTCATCTGCCCTTCCAAATCCCCTCTGTGGCCTCATCTCTGCTGAGCAAACCCTGATCCTTGGGAAGTCCCTGTGCTCTTACCAGGCTCACACAGGGCGAGAGGAGCTGCAACCTCCGTTGAGGGCAGGGAGCACAGCTCATGGAGGAGGAAGTTTTGGTACTAGTCCTGCATAAACACTTGGAGTGCCCACCTGCATGATGTCTTGGAGGCTTTCGGTGAAGGACAGCTCAGCCTCTACCATATAGAACTCTGCCAGGTGCCGGCGACTCTGCGAGTTTTCTGCTCGAAAGGTCGGGCCGAAGGTGAACACATGGGTAAAAGCCCTGCAAGGCAGCAAGAAACAGGTAGGTCAGGCCCACCACACCAGCGAGTCTATAATATTGAAAGTTCCGTCCACGAGCTCACTTTTCTCCCAGGATCTAGGGGCACTCATGTTTCCATTTCATCTTAACCAGTTTAATGGCACTGTTAGGTATGTTGCCATTACATTGCTTCAGCTGGGCTTTAAGAGGAGTTATTCACACCTCTCCATGCCTCAGCGAAGTTGCACAAACCCTATTCAGCTTTCACTAAACACTACTCACACTCAGGACACTTTTTTGTAGCTGTGTGGGACTAAAAAATGACATGCTGCAGAACTAGATCACTGGAGAAGCACCCGGACATCGCACCAGTCAGCCTCCCCTCATCCACGTCCCTTCACGTTTGTTTGGCTGCAGGGTCTGACCTTTATGGGTGCTGTGACACTGCAGAGCCCAACAGAGCAGAGAGGGTCTTGCTGCTGGAGTTGCTGGGCCAGCATTAGCACTGTGAGGTGGCAGGATGGATGTACGGTGTACGGCTTGCAGTCCCCCTCTAGTGGCAAGATCAAAGGTTATTGCTGATAGAGCCTTCAAACTAGACTGGGCTCCTTCCACACAGCTAAAAATGGTTCAGCTCAAAGGGATCCCTACTGCAGAGAACGCATCTGGGATATCATTTTATGCTGAAGCAACCAATGCATTGCCTATTATGAAGCTACTTCTCCAGCAACCTTCTGGGGAGTCTATTTAAATACATCCTCTCTTACTCTGCCGTCATGTCATGCTGTGTTACACAGGATACAAAAGTCTTCTTGATTCTCCACTTCCTTTGTAAGAATCCTTCCTATCAAACAGCAACACACCTTTAGAAGTTTTATTTTTACTGTGGGGAAGCTGCATTCTAAGCAATACCTTTCACACTGTGGGCTATAAGCACTTGGGCTCCTGGACATCCTCAAGCCACTGAGAGCTTCCAGAACAGATGCCATGATAGCTGTGTTTCCTCCCGTACTGCATGGGAAGCAAACCATGATTGAGGAGAGAGTGAGCTACTTCAGAAAAGTCATGGACTCGGCAGCTGCTATCTCTGGTACATCTTTAAGTTGACATTATTTTTAGCTCTAGACAGTGTGTAGGAGAAAAAGAACAGCATCGGTAGAGATTAACCACAGTTTAACACTCATGAAAGGATGCGTGCTAATTGCTGGCGTTGGCATTTGACTTGCATATTGCTCTGTAAGCTTTCAACTTAAAGAGGATGTTCGCTGAAGTTTCTGTACAGGCTAATTTTGTGAAACTGAAGTTTAAATAAACAAGGCTACAAAAAGCAGTGTTTTTCCTTTGCCCCTTATTGAGGCATCTGCACTGCAAATAAAGGACACACACATTCTGCTTCACTCATCTGTTCCCTCACACCACATGACGGTTAAAGGTTATGAGCTAAAGAAACAGCACTTTCTTTTTCCTTGAGTTCCTAGTAGTAAACACACCAGAAGAAAGTTCCAGGTCAAGATTCTGAATACGTAGCCTGCCTATAGGTTTCTTATCCCCACCGGCTCTGCTTTCCCTGTTCCAACAATACACTTTCTGGCTCTACTTTGCTCCTGTAACTGCACTCTCTCATATGTGACCACACCATCTATGATGTTAACCAGATTTTGCAGCAAACATCGTTCCTGAAGCATCATTTTCAGCATGTCTCTTTTTCCCTCTGTTGCCCTTCTTGCTTGCTGAGCTATTACTGTAAATTTCTGCCGTCACTTGATATTCCTCCTTCAAACTGCCCTTTGCTATAGTGTCTATAAAACCTCAGCAATGTTTAGATAAGTGATGTACCAAGACTGTTACTCACTGCACAGGTCAGTATTATCTCATCGGTTATTTGTGCTCCCTCATCTGTAGCCATCTGTTGTCTTGGGTTATAGAGAAATGCGTGTTCTTCCTCACAAGACCTTTTTGGGTTTTTTTCCCATGTTCCTACAGCACCTGGTACAACAAGGTCTTGGATCCAAAGCTTAAGAGCCTCAACTGCTATAGCAATACAAACAACAAATACGAAACAATGAGTCACTCGGCCAAAATTGTTCAATGTTTAAGGCAGAACTGGTCAAAAACTGTTGCTGGCCAGGCTACAGAGGTTGGCCTGCAGTGGGAAACAGGAGATGCAGGTTCTTGTGCTATCTGTGCCCATGTTTCAGGCTTTTGCTAAAATATCAGAGAAAGAATTTTCCCTAAATAAATCAGTTTAGTCACAAATTCAGATTGTGACTGGGCCAGGACTGGACACAAGACAAAAATATTTTGAAAAGCTTGCAACTGCTGAAGTACCCACCCAGGACTGCTGGGTTTTGATGTACAGGTCTCTAATTTCTCCCTGCATGAATTCTTCAAAAAGTAACACTTGAAACTAAAGTGTGATAACCAGGTGGCTAGCAGGAGATCCTGTCCCACAGAGCAGCAGTCTGGCTTCAGTGAGACACACATTTCTCAGCTGCTGTCCAGGCATGGGCACCGACACTTCACTCAGCGTGGCAGATGACAGTCTCCAGCAACGCAGGCTACTATGAGCACTTTGAACTGTACTTATTTCCCTCTGAATAGCAGCCCAAGCATGATGACTAGATACTTATCTTCCAAGGGGCTCGCTGGCTGCAAGATACCTAATATAATAATAATAACAATAATAATAAATCCTTATTGCTCCAAGATGTCAACTGTGGTCAAACACTTCACAGACATAGATCGATTCTGTGATGGCAAGAATAAAGGCTCCCTGTGCCTGCGATGGAGCTTTTGGGTAGGACAAGTGCAGAACAACTCCCACAGGAACCGATTTCAGTCTTTTCTCAGCTCTAGGCATCCTGCCGGGACCAATCTTCTCTAACTAGTACATCGAGCACCACCTACATTTACAAAATGAACCACTAGCACTGCAACTTCATAGACTAAGGGCTTTGTGATAGCCTGTAGAGAACACAACATCACTCGTGTAGGACTCAATTTGCCTGCCTGCCCCTTGGAGGAAAATAAATAAATACCAAACCCAAAATAAATCCACATCTGCAGGGAGGGGAGGAATCATTCATTTCTCAGGCTAATTGTAAAAGGAAAAGATAGATACAAATAACTGTGAGAATTTCACCACGATCCTGGGACCCTGGCAAAGGGAAACTAGCCAGATGTCATGCTGGCAATGTGATCAAAGGAGCGCAGTAAATGCAAGTCATCTGGTAATGGCAATGCAGCACTGACCAGAGGCCTGGACTAACAGAGAAACACAGCTAAAAATACATATAGTCACTGTTATCAACTCCAAGTGCAAACAATTATTTTTCATCCAGGCATTCTGATACTCTTTACTGTGCTCCACCATTCAAGACATTAAGCAAACGCACGCTACACGAATCCGACCTTTATTTGTACTTCATCTGCTATTAAAAAAACGTATCTGTGATTTGATACACTGCTATATCACACTGAGTGTGTATAAATATATTAGAAAAGAGGGATGGGAGCTGACTCTGCTCCAATTTCACCGTACCGAGGGCAAAACCAGTCATTTTGTTCTGTGTGCATTCAGCACCTAGCACAATGGAGTCTCAGTCCAGGGCTGTGACTCCTATGATCTACGATGCAAATAATCAATCATTTAACATTCCCAGACCTCTGCAAGACTTCCAGCATTTAAAAATAACTTGAAAATTCTGGCTAAGTCTCCAAAAGTGCCTAGGTCAGCTGGGGTTGTGGGCACTCAAGTCTTTAAAAAAAAAAATCAGTAGTGCTAATTCCTCATCTCCAACAAAAGCACACACACAGGAGGGGGGGCGGGGAAAGCAAGCCCAATAATCTGTCGAGCCCTTTTCCTTAGCCATTACAGGCAGAGCAGTAATGTCTGTAACACTGTCCTTGTACGTGCTACCAAAGAACACAACAGAGGCTTTGAAACGAGTCCCTTTGCAGTCAGCTTCGCCCAGATCAGAGCTCTGGACAGCAAACCCGAGCGCATTTATGCAGTTCACAGGCGCTGCCGGGGTCGACACCAGAAGGAGGCACAGAGCCGCTTAATTAATTGCTCCCTTTCTGGGACTGTATTTTGCTCTGCCCAGTTCTCTGGGAAAATTTGAGAGCTTAATGTGGAGGCCAAGAGAATACCCACAGCGTTCCTCCAACACACTGAAACGCTGCAAAAGCCAGAGCCCCATCCTGCAAAACACTGAGCTTGCTTGCCCCAGACCAGCGAAGGGTTTAACCACCTTTTTAGGTACAGGCTCACAAAAGTCCCTGTGGAAGCAGACAGCAGCACTTGGATGTGTTGCTGGAGCACAGGTGTCATCTGCACAGACAATCGCTTGGTGGAGGCTCATTCTTACACAGGCTGCATTTGTGATCTCCAAGCTATGAACACCCAGGAAGGGAAAAACTTTCCCCTTTTCACCCTTATTTTACACACTACTAAAACCCTCTTCAGAAGCAGCTACCTCTTCCCCCTTGGAGAGCTTTACGCCATGCAGAATGAAAGCTCATTTCATTTGAACTCGTTGACAATTCATTATTGAGGCAGTGATAGAAACCAATAGAGAAGTATAAAGTATCTGTGCCCAAAGCTGCTTAAAATCATCCCTTTAATTAAACTCACACAATGTTTGTAGGTCTGAGCATCTCTGCCTTACTGGCAATTTTTACACTGCAATCCAAATATAATTAATTGTGCCGATGGTTCCCAAGCCAGGAATGGATTGTGCTCCTTTTCTGAGCCAGGACTCCATGCTGCTACCAGGGTAATAAAGACTTATTTGTGCTGTCGAACCAAGGGGATATAACTCTGAGCAAGGCTATTAATCAAGAACATGCAATCCCTGCACAGTCAGCTTACAGCCTATGCCAAGGTCACACCACATGGCAGTGACACAGCTGGAGGCAGAAGCTGGTTGTTGTGAGACTCAGGGCTAAGCACTAAACCACATAGCCCCTCATTGGTAGGGTGCCCTTGTTCTCACCCCAAAATACTACAGGTGACTGCATAAACACAAATACAGTGATTGCTCTGACAAGATCTGCAGTGAAGAGTTGAGCTGAAAGGTGATTTGTGCCAAATCTTAGCTTTGGCCATGCTAAATGAACACAGCATGTGACCCTTCAACACAGTATGTTCCCCTGCGCCATCAGCCACCAACACACCCACACCCTCCCCATACAAACTAAAATCTAGATTGCAAGAAAATCTAATAATGATAGCTTCTAACCCAAGGACAAAACAACACATGATGTCAGCAGAGGAGGAAAGGAGAGCAAGGTGACCCTAAAGACCAAGAGCTTAACTTTGTCACCCACATTGTCCTTTCCCTTAGGAAGGGAAGAAATTAA